TCGGGAGCCGCAGGGGCAGGGCGCGGGGCTGCAGAGGCGGTGCGCGGGGCTGCAAGGGCAGGGCGCGGGGCTGCAGGGGCGGTGCGCGGGGCTGCAGGGGCGGTTCGCCGAGCTGCAGGGGCAGGGCGCGGGGCTGCAGGGGCGGTGCGCGGGGCTGCAGGGGCGGTTCGCGAGCTGCAGGGGCAGGGCGCGGGGCTGCAGGGCGGCGGGCGGTCCGCAAGTGGGCGGCGCGCTGGTTGCAGGGGCGGGCGGGGCCTGGGGTCGATGGGCGGGCCTGCAATGGCGGGCGCGCGGGGCCTAGGGTCGACGGGCGGGCCTGAAGAGGCGGGCGCGCGGGGCCTAAGGTCGACGGGCGGGCCGCAAGGGGTTGACGGGCGGGCCTGCAAGGGCGGGCGCGCGGGGCCTAGGGTCCACGGGCGGGCCTGAGAGGGCAGGCGCGTGGGGCCTAGGGTCGACTGGTGGCCCGCAAGGGGTCGACGGGCGGGCCTTCAGGGGCGGGCGCACGGGGCCTAGGGTCGACGGGCGGGCCTAAGGGGGCGGGCGCGTGGGGGCTAGGGTCGACGGGCGGGCCGCAAGGGGCGACGCGCGGGGCATAGGGGCTACGGGCGGGCCGCAATACGGCGGTACGCAGGGTAGCAGGAGAGTGGCGCGATGGCCGTGACGAGGAAGCGGGCAGGCTGCTAGGGCAGCGCGCTAGCGGTAGGGGCGGGTCATGGGCTGCTAGGGGCAGCGCGACTAGCTGCTAGGGGCAATTCGTGGGGCAGCTCTGTGGTGGGCCCTAAAAAAAACGGTCCTAGCGAAGGACCTGCTCTGAAACCATGTCAGAAGAATGAACGAGAATGGATGAACTAGCAAAGAGTTGGGTACAAGTACTAACGTGATATCATAAATTGAATTTTCGCGTCAATTACGGCCGAGCTTCTCGTAATTGACGCGAAAATTCAATTTATGATATCCTGATAAATAAACACAATATTAGTCTCTGGACTCGAAAAGGGGCAATAGCGTAAAAACTGACCGAAGGTATCGGACTCGAGTGCGAAGCAAGGCGGTGTCAAAACCACTGCCGAAAGGAATCAGAAACCCGAAACCAGGGCGGTCCGTCATTCCCTCATTGCCTGCCTCGAGGTTTTTGTTAGACTGCCAGCGTGGCAGCTAGAAATCTAGCGCACCGCGTCGGTTCGGTCGGTGTGAACCAAGGCGGTTCCGGGCCACGTCGCAAGTACCCTGCCCCCACCTCCCGAAAACCGACCTCTCAACGAAACCACCATAGCCCCAGTTCACTCACCCCCCTGCTTCCCCTTTCTCTCCCCGCAAACGGCCGAACTCCCACTTAACAAGGCCCATCGTGGCCCTAAAATCATGGTCAGCCCCCCTCGATGAGTTTTCGCCCGTTGCCACCTTCTCTCATGACTACAGTGATGCACCGCTAGTGACGCCTTTAGAGACCCATACGCATCATACCACTGATAGCCGTACCAGGCAGGAGCATCAGTTTTCACCACTAGTAAGAACGTTCTATAAGAGCATATTTCGAAGCATTATCACCTCCCTCATTCTCCCTTTTTTTCCCCATCCCAATTATCGGCGATTAGAGACATGGATCGCAAGGACTCCCCGCTGTCGCCATTGTCGTCGCCGGCGTCGTCGTGCAAGTCGTCGTCGTCGCACACGGTGTCAGCCGGGATATGGGCGATGAATATCCTCGGTGCAGTGGGCATCATTATGGTGAACAAGCAGCTCATGTCCGTCTACGGCTTCACCTTCGGTAAGCACGCCATATGCTTGACCTAACCCGTTTGCCAGTTCGCGGCTTCACTGAGAGTTGGAGAGTAGACGCGGCTAAAAAAATAAGGCGTCCATCATGTGTAATTAATCGTCCCGCTCCCTCCTTTTCATCCCTGCCGGGTCGCGTCCTGCAGTCTCGACGTTAACGGGTCTGCATTTCGCCATCACAGCCATCGTCGGTCTCCTCGCGTCCGCTCTAGCCGGAAGCAGCAGCCGCATTAGCAGCAGAAGCTGCTGCAGCAGCAGCAGCAGCAGCAGCAGCAGCAGCAGCAACGTAACCGGCAGCGGCGACGGCGGCGGCGGCGGCGGCGGTAGAGGAGGAGGAAGAGAAGAAGGAAAGGCAGCAGCGGCGGTGCTGCCTCTCTGGGTGCTCTTAGGGTTCGCGCTGCTGGGGAACGCGAGTCTGGTGGCGACGAATTTCAGTCTGCTGCTCAACTCGGTGGGGTTCTATCAGATCTCCAAGGTCGCCGTCATCCCGCTCGTCTGCCTCTTCGAATCGCTCGCGTGGCGTCGCGAGATCGCGCGCGGCGTGTGGGCGTCGATGGCGGTGGTGATGGTGGGCGTGGGGCTCTGCACGAACGCCGATATCTCACTCAACGTCGTCGGCTTCTGCGTCGCCAGCCTCGCCGTCGTCTGCTCCGCGCTGCACATGATGGTGCGTGCGACCCCTTGCGACACGTGTCGCGCGGCTTGCGACGTGCGACATGCGACGTGCGCCGTGCGCCGTGGGGTGTGCGCCGTGCGACATGTGCTTTACTCGGTTCGTCGTGGTTATCGTTGTCATCGGCGTCAGCGTATCTTCCTCTATCTGCCGTCAGCCTCGACGGCTCGCTCCTGCATTCCCCTCAACGTGTCTTCGCCCGTCCGTCACCCTCACCCTCTCTCTCTCTCTCCCTTTTCTCCCCGCACCCCCTCTCCCGCCCCGCTCGCCCCGCCCCCCCCAACGATCCACTGCTTGCAGCTTATTGGCTGGTTGCAGGACCACTACGCCACGTCATCGTTCGACTTGCTGAGTCAGACGGCTCCCCTGCAGGCGCTCCTGCTGCTGCTGATCGGCCCGCCCCTCGACTTCTATCTCACCTCGCGCTCGCTCCTCGCCTTCCACTTCTCCCCCGGCGCCCTCGTAAGCCAGCTCGCCTTTGTACTCCGCTCTTCTAAAAATGTGCTTTTCAAGTTGCGCTTGTCAAAATGCGCTCCCAAAGTTGCACACACTCCCCCCTCCGTCCCTCCTCAGCGTCTACCCCAACCTTCCCCTCTTCATCCCTCTCTCCTCAATCTTCTCCCTTCTTTCCCTCCTCCCCGCAGCTCTTCCTGCTGCTATCGGGGCTGCTGGCCGTGGCATGCAACCTGAGCGTGTACCTGTGCATCGGCCGCTTCTCCGCCACCACCTACCAGGTGCTCGGCCACGTCAAGACCGTCCTCGTTATAGGCATAGGAGTCGTCTTCTTCCACTCGCCGCTGTCGCTGCACAGCATGCTGGGGATGTCGCTGGCCGTGCTGGGCATGGCCATGTATGGTCGTGCCACACAATGCACACGCATCAGCACCAGCAGCGGCAAAACGGGCGATTCTTGCACTGGTAATAGCAGCGGCGGTGGTGGAGGTGGTGGATGGAAGGTCGGCAGTGGGAGCAGCTTCGTCAGCAGCAGCAGCAGAGACAGTATGAGCAGCAGTGGTAGCATGGAGACCGGGACAGGGAGGGCAGGGTGCATACCAGGCGGAGTGGCGTGCTGTGACGATGGCATAACGGTGGTGAAGCACGCATGGGGCAGGGTGATGCACGCATGGGCGTGGGACGAGGCAGAGCGCTCCTTTGTCCCTGTGGCAGGCAGGACAGTGGCAAGGGGCATAGGTCTGGCAGCAGGAGTGGGAGGAGGCGGCGGCGGGCTGATGGTGAGAGCGACAGCAGCAGCGCCTCAGCTTCGGGTGCCGCTGCTGGCTGCTAGAGACGTGGAGGCCGGCAGGGGGTGATGCCGATCACCAGATGACGATGATCAGTCCTGTGCAGAGCACTCCTGGAGAATCTTCAGGAATGGAATCCAAGTGCTGGATTGGGAGGCAGTGAAGTGCAAGCGTGGGTGATGAAGGAAGCATTGGCTGAACTGTGCTTGCCATTGTGCTTGCTTCCAATCACTGCTGTGCCTCTGCTGCTGATTTTGCTGCTGCTGGTGCTGCTGGTACTGGCGTTGCTGCCGCTGGCCTGGTGTCGATGCTGCTGGTGCTGCAGCTTGAGGGTCCAACCAGCAGAAGTCCCTACGAGCCGTTCACAGCTGACATGTCTTGAAGCATCTGAGAAGACAGTAGGAGCGTGCAGCTTCTGCGACAGCAGCAGCGGAGGCAGGAGCTGCAGCAGCAGGACGGGAGCAGCAACAGCAGCAGCAGCGAATGACAAGTATTGTATGTCAAATCTCATCACCAGGATTGCACTGAGCCAAATCTCAACTACCTGAGACCACTTGACGTCGTGGTCCAGCATGTTCCGCCTCATCAATGTGCTCGGCCTCACCACACACCGACTCCTCCACAACCACATTATTTATGGCTTTTTGTCTGCTGAAACCCCGCTCGCAGTCGGCGGTGTTTGTTGGAAGCTCAGCGTCAGGGGTGCCTGCCACAGGGTCATGAGCAGTCCTTCGCATTCATTTTATGACACCCGTCAGGGCAAACAAAATACAAAACGTGTAGCCTCAGGGCAAACTCTGTACAAAACGTGTAGCCCTTAATGCAAGGGGGGTTGATAACCCTAGGGTTACCCTAAACATGAACGTTTGGCAGCATAATCCTGAGCTCCTAGGGCATTTCCTTTCCGTGTCACTTGTACTTTGGTGGCGATTTATATGCCAGTGTGAGGATCCTATATTCCGATGCAACAAGGAGTATTACAGTGGTTACTTGTGAGAAAGAGGCATAGGGGCAGGCCACAATGAAATATCAGGGCTTACGGCATGTTCCTACAGCCAACCTCTTGTCAGGCTCGCGTCAAAACACACTGAAATTTCCCTAACCTAAAAACCTTAGCAAATTTTACCAGGCAAGCCTGACAAGAGGTTTGCCTGATAAGAGCGTAGGACCACGCCCTTATCAAACACATCCTGAAATTACAGGGCACGTACAGTACAAAAAATGCCTTGAAATCCCAAGGAACAGCGACAACCTACACCCTGGAGATCAGGGGGTTGCTGGATGTTTTACCCTGATATATGAGGCCATTCTCACGACCAACCGGTGCTTGCCAGGTGTCCCGAGTCCTCCGCAGCCAGTGAGACGAGCACGGGGCGGAAGGCAGAGGAGGCAGGGCAGCGCATGAGCAGCAGCACTCGCAGCGAAGGAAGAAGCGCGGCAGAGGGCGAGGTGGAGGAGAGGGAGGGGATGGCAGAGGAAAATTGGCGGCATGCAGCTGCGTGCAAGGCTGATGCGCGCACACACCCCAGTGACACTCGGCTCTTGCTGCTCCGCGCCGTACAATGGGCGTGGGGGATGCGTTGGGAGGTAGATGGAGGGGAAAGGGTGAAAGGGTAAACTTAGTAATCACGTTCTTGCCAACCTTCCCTCCCCAAACAAGACATCTGATTAACTACCTCGACCCAATTGTCACCATCATTCACACTCCACTGCTACCCTCCCTTGCCCAACCCCTCCCTGTACTCCCTCCACCCCCACACTCCCCCCACCCCCCTCAATACACCGACCTTCCCTCAAGCAATGCCCCCCTCTGTCCACATTGCCTCACCTGCCTCGCGGTGCCACACTCGTCACAAACCCAATCACTTCCCGAATCCAGCGCCTTGTCCCCCCACGCCATTCCCCCCCTCCCCTTGCTCCCTCGCCCTCCTTCCTCTGCAGCCCCTCCTTTCCTCTCAAACTCGCCACATATTGCTGTTCCTCTGTGCCTCGCCGCCTCTCCCCTTGCTTCTGCTTCTGCACCTGCCGCTTCGTCTTCCGAACCACGGCACCAGGTACGGAGCCGAGCCTGGTGCGGAGGAGGGAGGGAGGGAGGACAACTCCCCGCCAGGCAGAGGCACGGGTGCTGCCAGGGTAGACGGGCAGAGGCGGTAGTTGGAGGGGAAGGGCGAGAACGAGAGTTGGGCCTAGGTGCAGGGGAGTGGCACGAGGTGAGTGAACGCTCAAGGCAGATCCGAAGAAGACAGAGTAGACGATTGGAGTGGCAAAGAAGGCACGCACATGGTGCATCCATGCATATAGACAAGCACACGTGGCACATTTTCTATCATGTATGGACAAGCACACGTGGCACCTGTGCAAGCACCCACCCATGTACAGCAGCCCCATTGCGACGCGAGCAGAAGCGGTGGAAGTCTTGAGGCGACGGCACACACAGCTCTGCTGCTGCCTGCGCTGCCCCTCTGCCCGCCGGCACCACTCGCACCGCCACCATGCACCTCCCCTGCTGCTCATGCTGCCGTTGTGGTGCTGCGCTGCTTGAGAGCCCATGGAGGGGCAGTGGTGGGCATGCCGCACACGAGTCCACATCCATTCCCGTGCCCACGTCTCCCCCTCGTTCCCCATCCACCACACTCCCCCCACCAGCAGCACCAGCTCCTCTCTCCTTCCATGCGACCTCGCCTCTCTCCCTCTCTCCAACTCGCCTCCACGCCACATTCACCTGTGAGCCATGCGCCCCTCCCACCCCTCTCTCCTCCCTCTCACCTTCCCCCCTGCCCGCCTGCCCTGCCTGCCCTCTCCCGCCCTTTCCTGTGCCATGGCCGTCCAACCGCACTCCCCTGCTGCCCGCCCCCTCACCGAAAGCACCGTCCCCATCAGCAGCAACGCCACAGCCACTGCGCAGCACGGCAGGCAGCAAGGCAGAGAGCACGTCAGCAGAGCAGCGGGCCACCCTCAACTCCACGTCAGCGTTGCCATCACCACACACTGCCTCTGCCTCCCCTCCACCCCCTTCTCCCCCATCCCCTCCAACTCCCCCTCGCTCTCCTCCTCCCCCAACCCCTCCCCAGACGCCAGAAGCAGCAGCCCAGGCAGGCGGCACGGGGGGGCGCAGAGGGCGCTTGGAGGGTGGTGTGCGGTCGTAGCGGGCGCGCTGCAGCAAATAGGAGGCTGCCACGTGGCACCAGTAGGAGAAGGTCTCGGGGTAGTCGTAGGGGAAGAGAGGAAGACCCGCCTGTGGAAGAAAGGAGGACGATTGGAAGGCAATTAGGGGGATAAGAGGGGGATTAGAGGGCAGTTACAGGGGGAAGAGAGGCAGGGGATGGGACAAACAAGTACTGGTTGGAACATAAGGGACAACGGGTCATTTTACCGCTGTGAAGAGCGACTCACCACTGTGAAGAGCGACTCACCGCTGTGAAGAGCGACTCACCGCTGTGAAGAGCGACTCACCGCTGTGAAGAGCGACTCACCGCTGTGAAGAGCGACTCACCGCTGTGACGCGCGACTCACTGCTGTGAAGAGCGACTCACCGCTGTGAAGAGCGACTCACCGCTGTGACGAGCGACTCACCGCTGTGACGCGCGACTCACCGCTGTGAAGAGCGTGTGCCTCTCCGCTAGCCCGATGGCATGCGCGCCGTGCAGGATGAACGGGTGCCAGCACGCCTGCAGCCAATCAGATGGCAGGATGACCGACCACCTGTGATGAGAGAGTCGAGGGGGGAAAGAGAGAGGGGAGAGGGGAGAGGGGGTTGGAGGTTGGAAAGGGGGGGATGAAGAAGCCGAAGCACGCACCACCACATGCATCCCAAGTCCCACTACTTGACATCTCCTGCCCACCCTCACCTTCCCCTCCCCATCTTTCTACACCATCCTGCAATTTGTTCCATTATCCCCTTCCTCACTATCCCCTTCCTCACTATCCCCTTCCTCACTAATCACCGACAAGGGCCGCCTCACCTCACCTGGTCACGCCAGCACCCTGCATGGCACCGCACCCATGCTTCACCACCACCACATCGCACCCTGGCTGCTCTCCACACACCACTCCTCCCTCCCCCCCTCCTCCACAGGCCCCACCTCCTCCTCCCCGCCCCTCCCCACCACTCCCCCCCTCCCCCCTGCCCGCCTGCCACTGTGCCCACTGCCCCGCCACGCTCTCCCCCATGCGCCGTGCCTCCTTCGCCCCCATGAGCCCCTGCAGCTTGAGAGCGCGCCGCCACACATCCAGCAGGTGCTGGGGGGGAGGGCCGCGGGGAGGCAGAGCAGCCATGGCGGCTGGTGTGCCTGCCGGGCCTCCTCCCTGCCCTCGCACTCTTTCACGCCTCTCCGCCCTCTCCTCCCCATCATCGCCCATCATCTCCTCCTCGCCCTGCAACTCATCACGCATCTCCGCACTTTCCTCGCCTGACCGATTCCCCTTCTCCCTGCCTGCCTCATCATCCCCCCTGCAGCGTCCTGCCCTCCGTTGCTCTCTCGGAACCCACAGGCTGGGAGCAGCGGCAATGGCACCCCCATCAACGGATCCTGACACATCTCTCCACCAATCAAAACAGAGATCACCCTTGTGTGCCACAGAAACACTTCCAGCACCCCCAGCAGCCTCCTTCCCGCTGCCCGCCATCAGCCGGGCATCCACGGCTCTGAACCCCACCACGGCCCCTCCAGGGAGATGCGCCCCATGCTCTGCCAGCACCTTCCAGGACGCTTCCGACTGCTGCAGGCGCGCTGATGCTGCAGCGGGCGAGGCAGAGCGGCCAGCAGGCGAAGCAGAGGCGGGGGCAGCAGCAGCAGGGAAGGGTGGCGGGAGCAGCACGGGGGAGAGGGCGTCCAAAGGGGTGGAGGGGCGCAGCACGGAGAGCAGCAGGGGGAGGGCTGTTCGCCCCGCCACCTCCACACGACACAGCTCGCCCTCACGGCTCTCCACACTCACCCGCCTCCGCCTCCGGCCTTTCTGCTCGCTGCCACTCTCCTGCCCCTGCATGGGTTGAGAGCAGCTCAACCCCATCTGCTGACTGGCGGCTGTGAGGGCGGCCAGGGCGTCGGGCAGCATGAGTGCATGCACCCACACCCACACGCACCTCTGCCGCCGCTGCTCCTGCTTCCGCCGCCCCTGCCTCTCCCTCCTCCGCTGCTTCCACCCCATCCCCTCCTCCTTCTGCCCTCCCTTCACCTCCCCACCGCCTCCCTCCCCCCCACCACCCTCACCGCTGGCAGGTCCCTGACCAAGGACAGCGGCACCAGCAGGTGCATCACCAACATGCCCTTGCACCGCCGCCCCGCCAACACACGCCACTGGCTGCCACATAAAACTGGCTGGACCAATCACGTCGCTGCTGCTGGTATCACTCGCGGAGGAGCAGAGCTAATCGGATGAAGGGAGACAGTGGAGATGGGGAGGCAGGGGAAATGGGAGGAAGGGTGAGGTTGTGAAGGAGAGAGGAGTTGTGGGATGCGGGAGGATGAGGAGGATGATGGTGACGCTTGGGTTGTTGGGGGGTGGAAGATGAGGCTGCTCTCGCAGACTGCCCTGCCAATTGTGGTATCCATGCCTCCATGCCTCCATGCCTCCATGCCTCCATGCCTCCATGCCTCCATGCCTCCATGCCTCCATGCCTCCATGCCTCCATGCCTCCATGCCTCCATGCCTCCATGCCTCCATGCCTCCATGCCTCCATGCCTCCATGCCTCCATGCCTCCATGCCTCCATGCCTCCATGCCTCCATGCCTCCATGCCTCCATGCCTCCATGCCTCCATGCCTCCATGCCTCCATGCCTCCATGCCTCCATGCCTCCATGCCTCCATGCCTCCATGCCTCCATGCCTCCATGCCTCCATGCCTCCATGCCTCCATGCCTCCATGCCTCCATGCCTCCATGCCTCCATGCCTCCAGGCCTCCATGCCTCCATGCCTCCATGCCTCCATGCCTCCATGCCTCCATGCCTCCATGCCTCCATGCCTCCATGCCTCCATGCCTCCATGCCTCCATGCCTCCATGCCTCCATGCCTCCATGCCTCCATGCCTCCATGCCTCCATGCCTCCATGCCTCCATGCCTCCATGCCTCCATGCCTCCATGCCTCCATGCCTCCATGCCTCCATGCCTCCATGCCTCCATGCCTCCATGCCTCCATGCCTCCATGCCTCCATGCCTCCATGCCTCCATGCCTCCATGCCTCCATGCCTCCATGCCTCCATGCCTCCATGCCTCCATGCCTCCATGCCTCCATGCCTCCATGCCTCCATGCCTCCATGCCTCCATGCCTCCATGCCTCCATGCCTCCATGCCTCCATGCCTCCATGCCTCCATGCCTCCATGCCTCCATGCCTCCATGCCTCCATGCCTCCATGCCTCCATGCCTCCATGCCTCCATGCCTCCATGCCTCCATGCCTCCATGCCTCCATGCCTCCATGCCTCCATGCCTCCATGCCTCCATGCCTCCATGCCTCCATGCCTCCATGCCTCCATGCCTCCATGCCTCCATGCCTCCATGCCTCCATGCCTCCATGCCTCCATGCCTCCATGCCTCCATGCCTCCATGCCTCCATGCCTCCATGCCTCCATGCCTCCATGCCTCCATGCCTCCATGCCTCCATGCCTCCATGCCTCCATGCCTCCATGCCTCCATGCCTCCATGCCTCCATGCCTCCATGCCTCCATGCCTCCATGCCTCCATGCCTCCATGCCTCCATGCCTCCATGCCTCCATGCCTCCATGCCTCCATGCCTCCATGCCTCCATGCCTCCATGCCTCCATGCCTCCATGCCTCCATGCCTCCATGCCTCCATGCCTCCATGCCTCCATGCCTCCATGCCTCCATGCCTCCATGCCTCCATGCCTCCATGCCTCCATGCCTCCATGCCTCCATGCCTCCATGCCTCCATGCCTCCATGCCTCCATGCCTCCATGCCTCCATGCCTCCATGCCTCCATGCCTCCATGCCTCCATGCCTCCATGCCTCCATGCCTCCATGCCTCCATGCCTCCATGCCTCCATGCCTCCATGCCTCCATGCCTCCATGCCTCCATGCCTCCATGCCTCCATGCCTCCATGCCTCCATGCCTCCATGCTCCATGCCTCCATGCCTCCATGCCTCCATGCCTCCATGCCTCCATGCCTCCATGCCTCCATGCCTCCATGCCATTCCCCCATGCCTCCATGCCTCCATGCCTCCATGCCTCCATGCCTCCATGCTCCATGCCTCCATGCCTCCATGCCTCCATGCCTCCATGCCTCCATGCCTTCCATGCCTCCATGCCTCCATGCCTCCATGCCTCCATGCCTCCATGCCTCCATGCCTCCATGCCTCCATGCCTCCATGCCTCCATGCCTCCATGCCTCCATGCCTCCATGCCTCCATGCCTCCATGCCTCCATGCCTCCATGCCTCCATGCCTCCATGCCTCCATGCCTCCATGCCTCCATGCCTCCATGCCTCCATGCCTCCATGCCTCCATGCCTCCATGCCTCCATGCCCATCCATGCCTCCATGCCTCCATGCCTCCATGCCTCCATGCCTCCATGCCTCCATGCCTCCATGCCTCCATGCCTCCATGCCTCCATGCCTCCATGCCTCCATGCCTCCATGCCTCCATGCCTCCATGCCTCCATGCCTCCATGCCTCCATGCCTCCATGCCTCCATGCCTCCATGCCTCCATGCCTCCATGCCTCCATGCCTCCATGCCTCCATGCCTCCATGCCTCCATGCCTCCATGCCTCCATGCCTCCATGCCTCCATGCCTCCATGCCTCCATGCCTCCATGCCTCCATGCCTCCATGCCTCCATGCCTCCATGCCTCCATGCCTCCATGCCTCCATGCCTCCATGCCTCCATGCCTCCATGCCTCCATGCCTCCATGCCTCCATGCCTCCATGCCTCCATGCCTCCATGCCTCCATGCCTCCATGCCTCCATGCCTCCATGCCTCCATGCCTCCATGCCTCCATGCCTCCATGCCTCCATGCCTCCATGCCTCCATGCCTCCATGCCTCCATGCCTCCATGCCTCCATGCCTCCATGCCTCCATGCCCTCCATGCCTCCATGCCTCCATGCCTCCATGCCTCCATGCCTCCATGCCTCCATGCCTCCATGCCTCCATGCCTCATGCCTCCATGCCCTCCATGCCTCCATGCCTCCATGCCTCCATGCCTCCATGCCTCCATGCCTCCATGCCTCCATGCCTCCATGCCTCCATGCCTCCATGCCTCCATGCCTCCATGCCTCCATGCCTCCATGCCTCCATGCCTCCATGCCTCCATGCCTCCATGCCTCCATGCCTCCATGCCTCCATGCCTCCATGCCTCCATGCCTCCATGCCTCCATGCCTCCATGCCTCCATGCCTCCATGCCTCCATGCCTCCATGCCTCCATGCCTCATGCTCCATGCCTCCATGCCTCCATGCCTCCATGCCTCCATGCCTCCATGCCTCCATGCCTCCACTCTGCCTCCATGCCTCCATGCCTCCATGCCTCCATGCCTCCATGCCTCCATGCCTCCATGCCTCCATGCCTCCATGCCTCCATGCCTCCATGCCTCCATGCCTCCATGCCTCCATGCCTCCATGCCTCCATGCCTCCATGCCTCCATGCCTCCATGCCTCCATGCCTCCATGCCTCCATGCCTCCATGCCTCCATGCCTCCATGCCTCCATGCCTCCATGCCTCCATGCCTCCATGCCTCCATGCCTCCATGCCTCCATGCCTCCATGCCTCCATGCCTCCATGCCTCCATGCCTCCATGCCTCCATGCCTCCATGCCTCCATGCCTCCATGCCTCCATGCCTCCATGCCTCCATGCCTCCATGCCTCCATGCCTCCATGCCTCCATGCCTCCATGCCTCCATGCCTCCATGCCTCCATGCCTCCATGCCTCCATGCCTCCATGCCTCCATGCCTCCATGCCTCCATGCCTCCATGCCTCCATGCCTCCATGCCTCCATGCCTCCATGCCTCCATGCCTCCATGCCTCCATGCCTCCATGCCTCCATGCCTCCATGCCTCCATGCCTCCATGCCTCCATGCCTCCATGCCTCCATGCCTCCATGCCTCCATGCCTCCATGCCTCCATGCCTCCATGCCTCCATGCCTCCATGCCTCCATGCCTCCATGCCTCCATGCCTCCATGCCTCCATGCCTCCATGCCTCCATGCCTCCATGCCTCCATGCCTCCATGCCTCCATGCCTCCATGCCTCCATGCCTCCATGCCTCCATGCCTCCATGCCTCCATGCCTCCATGCCTCCATGCCTCCATGCCTCCATGCCTCCATGCCTCCATGCCTCCATGCCTCCATGCCTCCATGCCTCCATGCCTCCATGCCTCCATGCCTCCATGCCTCCATGCCTCCATGCCTCCATGCCTCCATGCCTCCATGCCTCCATGCCTCCATGCCTCCATGCCTCCATGCCTCCATGCCTCCATGCCTCCATGCCTCCATGCCTCCATGCCTCCATGCCTCCATGCCTCCATGCCTCCATGCCTCCATGCCTCCATGCCTCCATGCCTCCATGCCTCCATGCCTCCATGCCTCCATGCCTCCATGCCTCCATGCCTCCATGCCTCCATGCCTCCATGCCTCCATGCCTCCATGCCTCCATGCCTCCATGCCTCCATGCCTCCATGCCTCCATGCCTCCATGCCTCCATGCCTCCATGCCTCCATGCCTCCATGCCTCCATGCCTCCATGCCTCCATGCCTCCATGCCTCCATGCCTCCATGCCTCCATGCCTCCATGCCTCCATGCCTCCATGCCTCCATGCCTCCATGCCTCCATGCCTCCATGCCTCCATGCCTCCATGCCTCCATGCCTCCATGCCTCCATGCCTCCATGCCTCCATGCCTCCATGCCTCCATGCCTCCATGCCTCCATGCCTCCATGCCTCCATGCCTCCATGCCTCCATGCCTCCATGCCTCCATGCCTCCATGCCTCCATGCCTCCATGCCTCCATGCCTCCATGCCTCCATGCCTCCATGCCTCCATGCCTCCATGCCTCCATGCCTCCATGCCTCCATGGCCTCCATGCCTCCATGCCTCCATGCCTCCATGCCTCCATGCCTCCATGCCTCCATGCCTCCATGCCTCCATGCCTCCATGCCATGCCTCCATGCCTCCATGCCTCCATGCCTCCATGCCTCCATGCCTCCATGCCTCCATGCCTCCATGCCTCCATGCCTCCATGCCTCCATGCCTCCATGCCTCCATGCCTCCATGCCTCCATGCCTCCATGCCTCCATGCCTCCATGCCTCCATGCCTCCATGCCTCCATGCCTCCATGCCTCCATGCCTCCATGCCTCCATGCCTCCATGCCTCCATGCCTCCATGCCTCCATGCCTCCATGCCTCCATGCCTCCATGCCTCCATGCCTCCATGCCTCCATGCCTCCATGCCTCCATGCCTCCATGCCTCCATGCCTCCATGCCTCCATGCCTCCATGCCTCCATGCCTCCATGCCTCCATGCCTCCATGCCTCCATGCCTCCATGCCTCCATGCCTCCATGCCTCCATGCCTCCATGCCTCCATGCCTCCATGCCTCCATGCCTCCATGCCTCCATGCCTCCATGCCTCCATGCCTCCATGCCTCCATGCCTCATGCCTCCATGCCTCCATGCCTCCATGCCTCCATGCCTCCATGCCTCCATGCCTCCATGCCTCCATGCCTCCATGCCTCCATGCCTCCATGCCTCCATGCCTCCATGCCTCCATGCCTCCATGCCTCCATGCCTCCATGGCCTCCATGCCTCCATGCCTCCATGCCTCCATGCCTCCATGCCTCCATGCCTCCATGCCTCCATGCCTCCATGCCTCCATGCCTCCATGCCTCCATGCCTCCATGCCTCCATGCCTCCATGCCTCCATGCCTCCATGCCTCCATGCCTCCATGCCTCCATGCCTCCATGCCTCCATGCCTCCATGCCTCCATGCCTCCCTGCCTCCATGCCTCCATGCCTCCATGCCTCCATGCCTCCATGCCTCCATGCCTCCATGCCTCCATGCCTCCATGCCTCCATGCCTCCATGCCTCCATGCCTCCATGCCTCCATGCCCTCCATGCCTCCATGCCTCCATGCCTCCATGCCTCCATGCCTCCATGCCTCCATGCCTCCATGCCTCCATGCCTCCATGCTCATGCCTCCATGCCTCCATGCCTCCATGCCTCCATGCCTCCATGCCTCCATGCCTCCTCCTCCATGCCTCCATGCCTCCATGCCTCCATGCCTCCATGCCTCCATGCCTCCATGCCTCCATGCCTCCATGCCTCCATGCCTCCATGCCTCCATGCCTCCATGCCTCCATGCCTCCATGCCTCCATGCCTCCATGCTCCATGCCTCCATGCCTCCATGCCTCCATGCCTCCATGCCTCCATGCCTCCATGCCTCCATGCCTCCATGCCTCCATGCCTCCATGCCTCCATGCCTCCATGCCTCCATGCCTCCATGCCTCCATGCCTCCATGCCTCCATGCCTCCATGCCTCCATGCCTCCATGCCTCCATGCCTCCATGCCTCCATGCCTCCATGCCTCCATGCCTCCATGCCTCCATGCCTCCATGCCTCCATGCCTCCATGCCTCCATGCCTCCATGCCTCCATGCCTCCATGCCTCCATGCCTCCATGCCTCCATGCCTCCATGCCTCCATGCCTCCATGCCTCCATGCCTCCATGCCTCCATGCCTCCATGCCTCCATGCCTCCATGCCTCCCCCCATGCCGCCTCTCCACCACCCCTGTCTGTGCGTGCAGCATGCGGCGTGTGAAGGGTGGCAGGGGCGGAACGAGGGGCGAGGGGGAGTGCGCCCAGGGGAGTGCAGCGGGCGAGCAGAGCGCAGATATCCACCTGGGCGGGGGGAGAGGGGTGGTGGATGGATGGGAGGGGGGCATGGGAGGGGAATGGGCAGATGGGGGATTTTCTGGGTGAGAGGAAGAGGGGCACATGGAAGAGAGAGTGGGATTCAGAGACACAACGCACCACAGAAAGGGCAAAAGGGAGGGGAAGGAAAGGGGGTTGGGTGACGCGGGAGGCAAGTGAACACCCTGGCAAAAGGTGGCAGCTGTGGCAGGCGCAGACGGACTGGCCTCCTTCCATGCCGCATGCGACCTGTCCGTCTGTGCCTGCCGCTGTGCTGCACACCCAGTCACGCACGCACGCAGCAGTCGTCAGGGAGGCTGTGGGGGACGGGCGAGCAGCCTGACATGCAAACTGTAGCAGCAGACTAGCAGACCTTTGACACACCTCGAGAGTGCAACATGGAACAGCAAACTAGCAGCGGGCGGCCCACCTGAGTGCCGGTGAGCTGGATGGCGGAGTGGTAGGACGCGTCGTGCAGCACGGCCGCCCTGCCTGCTGCCTCCACCACCGCCCGGCTGCCACGGCCCCTGCACGTGCAGGGAGGCGTGCGGAGAGAGAGAGAAGGAACAAGTGGTTAGACAGGGACGGGACGGGGAATGGAATAGAGGCACGAGCACGAGCATGCTGTTTGCTCTGTGCTGTGCACATCATTATGTGTGCCGCACCTGCCATGCAGCCGCGCTGCCAGCGTGTACCCCCACGCGCCCGCCATATGGAATCGCTTCGCATGCCACTTGTGACTCGCCAGCCGTCTCGCCCCCCCATGGGCCCCCACCTCGTTCCATGCCCGCCCTCCCCCCACCCCCTGCTTCACCCGCTTCGCCTGCGCCCATCTGCGCACTCGCCTGCACGCCTCCCCTTCTCCTTCCGCCTCCCCTTCTCCTTCCGCCTCCCCTTCCCCCCACTCTTCCGCAACCCTTCGCGCCTCCCCGCCCTTATCCTCCCCCGCGCCCCGCGTCCCCCTGTCCACGTGGCCCTCCAGCGCCGCGACCTTGACGCGCTTTCGGCGAACCTGCCCCGCGACCACCCGCGCCAAGCCTCCGCGCACTTCCCCACGTGCACTGCCCGCCCCGCTCGTTCTGCGCGTTCCGCTCGTTCCGCCTTTTCTGGCTCCCCCGCGTCGCACGAAGCTGCTGGTCCGTCGGATCAGGTGCCGCGGCGTGCCGTGCCTCACGGCCACACGATCGCGCCGTCGCCGCGCGCCCCACTCGCGCCGCCCAACCACGCGACGGCCCTCGCTTCCTCCTCCTCCTCCTCCGCCGTCCGTCGCATCTTCCGCCGCACTATCCGCTCGGCAGTTCCGCTGGTCGCGTCTGTCGGCCCTAGGCGCACTGGCGGCAGCGTTGACCGTTGGAGCGCGCGCGCGGTCGAGCGCGGCGTAGAGGGTGGCGAATTCAGCCGAGCGCGCCGCCGCGAAGTCCCTCACGCGCACGCGGTGAGGCAGCATGCGGAGAGGGGGCGTCGGGTGACGGTGTGGAGAGGAAACGGGATTCGGGTGTCTGAGCCCTTCGCAATCAGGCTGTGGTGTAGACTGGTCTGGGACGCTAGACCCGACTCGGTGTGAAGGAACTTATTTGGGGAGGGAATGACGAAGCGCCGTGCTTTCTCGTCTTCAATTCCAACGGGCAGTGGTTTTTACAGGCCTCCTGCCACGCGATCGCGCCCGATTCCCGTGGTCAGTTTCACCATCAATACTCATTTTGTAGGTTTTTACGAGTTTTTGGATCACAGATGGTTTCTGCCCCAGGCGAGAAATACAACTGACTTACCTGAATAATCATTACGCCACCCAGGAAACACGTTCAGAACAATGCGAACAATCATTTCGCGCTGATATTTTCCCTCAACCACGGAAGTACAGTACTTGTTTGACGGGCTCGCAGTTTTCCCGCCACTAACGTTTTCTGTGTGGCCCATAACAAGCACACGGATGGCCCGTATAACAGCTCAAACGTCTCAGATCGCATATTTTTGCGCGCGTTCAGTTTTTACAGTACACGGGCCACCGTAGAGGTCTGACGACTGTCCCGTGAAGCAGTTCAGGAGGACCACATCGCAGCGATTCGATCGCACTGAATTTCCCGCGTTTGAATTCACATTTGCGCGAAAATAACGAGGCCATCATGGTTGTTCAGTCATCTACTCACGGTTGTGTCCATTTCGTCTTCACTGCACTGGCCCATTTGGTGGCCCTTTCTAAGTGATCTAGTCTACCCATAAGTACCAAGCTCAGCCATTAGTTGTGCCACGATCGTTTTACTCCTCAATAGCTACCATGTCGGAACCCAGGGAACGCGCCGAGCGGTTAGCGAATAACATTCTAGAGGCAATGGGAAACGTTCCCCCCGTAGCCCGTGGCCGACCAAAAGCTCCTAAGGATAATGCCCCATAGAGGCAAGGAGGTATCTACTCCTCGAGGGATAAGGCCCTCAAGGCTGTGCAGGCCCACGCGTTGTATCATCGTTTTGGATTCGCGACTGTGGAGGTGGCGGATGCGCACGTTATTCTCCGATGCAAAACCGCCATGTATGGACAAAAGCCAATATGCCCCTGGGAGTGTAGTTACAGCAGGATTGTTCATGGCGGCTTCTGGATGGTGACATCCCTCTCCCCTCCTGAATCACACGTCTGCAAGAAGTACAAGCGAGAGCAAGGAGCAAACGCCATCGCGAATAGCGTGAAGGTCATGAAGCGGCTTTGGGGCAACCTTGTTCGTGGCGCACCGTTTATTTCGGCGAAGATTTTGCAGCAGATTCTCACGTCCCACAGCAAGTTCCAGATCAATTACAAGCAGGCATGGCGGCTGCGTGAAGCAATCCAGAAGGAGATGTATGGGGATTGGCAAGAGTCATTCAGGTTGCTCCCCGCGTTGGCTGATAGGTTCCGGGAGATAGACCCGGATGGAAACTTCTTGATCCAGACGGTCGACGGCTGTTTCAACCGCATGTACATACAGCCGTCCGCTTCTCGCGGTGTGCTTGGTTTTTGCCGCCCCGTTGTTGCATTGGACGGAACGTTCATCATCAGTGCACAGCGCGCAACCCTTCTGATTGCCGTGGTACTTGACGGCAACCAAAAGATTACAATGCTGGCGTGGGCTTTGGTCGAAGGAGAGAACAAGGATTCGTGGAGTTGGTTTCTGCAAAACTTTTTGAAGAGCTTCCCAGAGTGGCTGCACCGTGACGACGCATCCATCATCAGCGACCGCGACAAGGGTTTGATTCCGGCTGCACGAGATGTCCTCCCGCTTGGCATGGCATCTTCACCAGAATGTTGACAAGTTTGGAGAAGCAGCTGCTCTGTTCTATTGGCATCTTGTGAAGTGCAGGCTTGACGACAAATGGGACGCTTTGGTGGCGGCCTGTCGGCGTGACTTTGCACCAATGGCTAATTATCTCCTCGGCATTGTGAAGCCGATCTCGGACACCTCACCTGCAGATGCAAGTGAGCAGCAACGTCCAGCTCCCACAACAGCAGCTGAGGCACGTCAACAAGCAGCCGAGAATCGTCGCCAGGGTCGTGATGCAGCACGTGCCGCCATGGGTCGCGGCACTACTTCACATGCACATGGGCGTGGTGCGGGAGACGCCAGCGCGGCGGGAGCCACACCGACCGAACCAGAGCCACCGACTGAAAGCACTGCTAACCCTATGGCTCAGCCGGCCGAGTCCCCTGCCACCAACTCGCCGCCAGCTCGTCCGTCTGGATTGACGCCTGCAATTGCACGACCTTTCGATTATGCACGCATCCTGAGACGTGTAAGGACAGGTTACATCCCCAGCTCCATCCGTACGGACCTGCCACGTGCAACTGGATCGAACGGAAACCCGGCTGAGGATGCAGAGGAACCCAACAGGGGAAGCACCTGCCAGGCATTGGTCCTGGTCTCTTTGGATCACCCGTGACCAGATGTCGGCAGTGCCAACCACGGGGTTAACACAATGGCCGATGCTGAAGAGGACGATGAGGAGGATGCAGATACAGAGGAGGCAGATGCAGAGGAGGCAGATGCAGAGGATGCGGAAGCACCTGCCACAGGAGAGGGGGTGCATGCAGAGGCTAGCGTGGACGACGATGACAATACTCCAGAGTCCGGTGTCGCGGATGGGGACCACACCACACACGTGCGGACCGGGTTTAGGCAGAACAAGCGTGGTACAAGGAAGAATTTGGGCATCAACCTTGTCCACTGGACTCGCCTTAAGGCCCCTACCCGACGCTTCGGGATCTTTACCAGCAACGCAGCTGAGCAGGTCAATAGCTCCATCGTGCCCATTCGGCACTTGCCGGTGACTCCGATGCTAGGGGGTCTCATGGACTGGTATCGCAATAGGTATTGTGAACGTAAGATGGCGGCGCTCGAGCAAACTGATCTCCTGACAGAGGCAGCCAAGGAGCGGATGGTGGAGAAGGAGACACGGGCGGAGGGGTACGAGCTGTTGGGCGGGGACCATGAAGAAGGAACCATCCAGACTAGGGACACCGATGATCCCAAAGAATGGAGGTCCTTCAACGTCAACTTGGCGGCGAAGACATGCGACTGCACAAACTGGGACCAGTACCAGTTTCGGTGCTCCCATGCTGTAGCCTTTGCTGTGAAGCAGAAGCTAGACCCCCGCACTCTCGTCTCAGATTTCTACACCACGAAGAATTGGGTATATTAAGAGAATGAACGAGAATGAATGCATTGAAAAGAAGTTGGGTACAAGTACTAACCCTAGTTGGGTTGTACCTCTTATGGGCTACCTACCCCACTACAGCCTACACAATGTAAGCTATATATAAGTTTGACACACCCCCATAGGCAAAGTGGGGGAGAACAAGTGGTCACAAGACCAGTCAAGAAAAGCAAAGCAAGCTCAGGGTGGATCACAAAGTCAACACACAGTCCGAGCACAAGCACAGGGCCATAAGGCATGTTCACATGCACAGTTATATAAAAGAGAACAAACGATACAGTGATCATACCCTAGCAAGTGCAAGCATGCAGGTATATATATATATCACAGTACAAGCAAAGTCACGCAGTGAGCAAGTGAGGCAAAGTAGGCATAAGGCCTAACACAGTAGAGAAGCGCTGATGATCACCAGGCGGAAGTGCCTTGGTGAATATATCAGCAATGTTGGCCCTAGTGGCCACGTACGCAAGACGAAGCTGGCCACGCTGCTGCAACTCTCGAGCAAGGAAGTATCGCAGAGCGATGTGCTTCGTTCGGTGCTCCAGTCTGTGCTCCTGACACAAGGCAATCATGGCCTTGTTGTCTACGCACAGAACTGGAGGCGAATGAGGCTGCTCTCCCAAGTAAGTCAGCAGGTAGGTGAGCCAGCGTAGCTCTTGTGCAGCCATGGCCCCTGCGTAGATCTGAGCCTCACACCTGGAGCTGAGAACCGAAGACGAGCGGGTAGACCGTCGGGAAACAGAGCCGGAACCGAGGCTGAAGGTGTAACCCTGTGACGACCGCTGCGTAGCTGAGTCATCAACCCAGGAAGCGTCTGCGTGACCGGTGAGGACAAATGGACCCCGTCCTCCAAGCACGAGCCCCATGCCTGAGGTACTGCACAAGTAGCGCAGTACCCTCTTCGCAGCATCCCAGTGCACCTTTCGGTGCCTACCGGGAGCCACGTAGCGAGCCAGAAGGCTGAGAGGGTACGCGAGGTCAGGTCGTGTGCACGTCATCAGGTACATGAGGCAACCCACAAGCTCTAGGTATGGACCACTCGGCTCTACGGACTCATCCGAAGGTGGAGCTGAGAGCGAGTGGCTGGTAGACAGAGGAGTGGGCTGTGGCAAGGAGAACTGGAAGCCGAAGTGCTGAAGGACTTGGTGCACCATGTGTGACTGAGTCAGGGTGATGGTGCGCCGTGCTCTGTCCCGGGTGATCTGCAAGCCAAGATAGCTGCGCAGTTTATCTAGGTCAGTGCAGGTGTGTCTCTTCTGCAGCCCCGACTTCACATGGGTTAGTGCCTCAGTGTCAGCAGTGGCAAAGACGAGGTCGTCGACGTACACGAGGACGTAGAACGGCGGCAGCGAGGTGTCGGTGCGTAGAAACAGCGACGGGTCAGCAGTAGAAGGAGCACACCCAAGAGCCGCAAGTGTAGTCCTCAGTGTGTCGTGCCACTCGCGAGGCGCCTGGCGGAGATCGTAGACTGGCCGCCGGAGGCTCCACTTAGTATCTGCAGGAAACGACTCAGTGAAGCCAGGTGGGCGGCGTAGCCAGATCTCCTCGTACAGGCTGCCCTGCAGGAAAGCTGTGCTGAAGTCCAGAGAGTGCGACTCGTAGTCACGCTGAGCAGCGACGTGCAGCAACACCCGAAGAGTGGTCATCTTCGGGGTGGGGGAGAAGGTATGGAAGTAGTCAACCCCCTGTCGCTGACTGCAGCCTCGAGCAACGTAACGCGCCTTGAAGGCAGGCAGAGAACCCGGCGGCCGCTTCACCCTGAAAATCC